GTGCCCCCCCCCCCCTGCACATTGTCACTCTGTCTGCTGCCTTGGCGTCGCTGAGCCTTTGATGTACCAAGATCTTGTAAAGTTTAAACTTCAGATCGTACTTTAACATGCGCCTAAAAGATTCTCTCTCCATACTTAATTGAATGCTATGACAACAAACTGACTTCTTAGTTCTACGCTCACAGACTCCATCACCACTACTACAATGACATTCTCAAAGGAGTGCTCACTTGCATTGGTCTCCCACTGTGGGTGACCCTAGTTTTTTATCTCTTGTTTTCAATTTCAACAGAGCCATGTGACTTGAAGTCAGCCACCCACTTAAGTATTGTTACTTTACTTGGAATTTTCTTACGGTCTTTTGTGTTAAATCCAAATCGTTTACAGAAGATATTCTATGTCTGTAGAGGGGACTTTGTTTCGATATATGTTTCAACCTTAAAAATACGTTGTTCCAAAATGAATGGTATCTTCGGAGTAGCTATGGCTGCTTCCAAGGTACTGTTGTTTTTGTTTTATGTATTTCTTCTTCCGGATGGTTCTGCTTGCTTCCTGTCTATTTTTGTGTGAATTGTGCACTTTGTTAGAGAGTTGTAGGCTTTCCTTTTGGTAAAGGTTTTTTTGGGGTCAGTAAGTATTTGTGTTCGTGTATATGTTTGCTGAGAAAACGGGGGGGGGGGGGGGGGGGGAATGGAAAAGAGACGTAATATCAGCCAAGGAATGAAAAGAAGTAAGTCTTTATAGAGGTGCCCTCCAACCCGCAATGCGTTGTTTTGTGGCAATAGGAAACACTGTTTTTAGCTGTTTGGATTTACTCATTCGCTCTTCCCTGTGTGTGAAAAAGAGAGTCCTGACTGACCTCTTTGTCATCACATTTATTAGTTTCGGAAATGGACAAACGCATTAGTCGTTTCGTTTTCAACTTTCTTGAACTGGGTCATCAAAAACGCTGGCTTCTTATTTTTGCCAAGGAACAGAATACACCTGTAGCTTAGAGCTTTTTCTATACCTCTCGGCTATTCGTGATTTGTGTACTATTCTCAGCTATTTGAAGCGTGGCATGCCACCACATTACATGCCCTGTGATTTTTACGGACAACGGATTTTCGTATCCTTATTCCCAACGCGTCGTACAATGGAACATTTTATGTCTAAAATGGTTGAGACGAACTTCTTTGTGTAAACAGAAGCACATCGACACAATAAGGGTCATTTTAGTTCTTGGAAAAAGTAAACTCAGACAGACAGAAACAACATGAGAAAAGGATAGGCGTGAGGAGTAGGACCTACCAGTGGCGCCCTCCTACCACTCGCTTGAGGTGAACACAGCCATACTATGTACTAGATGATTACGAGATAGAGTGACAAAAGGAGCCTAGAAGAGAGATAAAATATGCTTTAAAAATCCATGAATTATGATGTTTTACTCAAGGAAACCCCTAAATAGGGGTTCGAAGTATGGTTATCCACACTGCAGTTCAGGGCTGACATGCCCCAGTGACCATCCATTTAAAAAGCCCTCAGCGTAGCTTTTCATTACTTATGAGTATGGGTCTTGAATACACTAACCGCATGATTATTATTATTATTGTTATTATTATTATTATTATTATTAGTAGTAGTAGTAGTAGTAGTAGTAGTAGTAGTAGTAGTAGTAGTAGTAGTGTATTATTATTATTATTATTATTACAGTGTATTATTATTATTATTATTATTATTATTATTATTATTATTATTATTATTATTATTATTATTATTATTATTATTATTATTATTATTATTATTATTATTACTATACTATTATTATTATAGTTATTATAATAATAATAATATAATAATTGCATTTATATAGCGCATATCCATGCTCAAGAGCTTGCTCTATGCGCTTTACAACTATTAATACCTCAGCAGACCCTCTGAGAAGACTCAGAAACATTCTCAGCTTCCGCGGAAGCATACAGTGCAAGCTGCGGATTTCACGCGCTCAAACACTATCAAACTGACAAGATCTTTCACTGTCTATAGCCTGGGTGAAGTGAGGAAAAATTGTGCAAAGTGCCTTTCCCAAGGACACAACGTCGGGCCCCTGACAGGATTCGAACCCACG